AAAGCCATTTGTAAACAAATGGTTTGTGGGCCCTTTACTCACTACTTGAAGTACACCCACGCGACACAACAGCAACATCGGGTAGGGGAAATTTTCCCCTTCCTGACGATGCTGTTGGTTTGCGTGGGCGTTCTTCGGGTAGCGAGTAAAGGGCCCACAAACCATTTGTTTACAAATGGCTTTTGCGCCGTTTTCAAATGTTAGCACTGATATGATATCTAAAGTTGAATCACCAAAGTCTCCAAAATTATTTCGATCTTAGGAACACTGCTGGCACGATCAGAATGACCAATCCAACAATTTGTGATGAATTCCCGTCTCCAAGTAGCAGCTAAGCAACAAGCAAAGCTCTGGCGAAGTCTCGTCATTGTTGAATCGTTTCCATTCCGAGCAAGCTACGGCGGCAAGCAGGCAGGGCTACGCCAAAGAAGATATCTCAGCGCAAATTTAATAAACTAGTTGATCCAGGTGTGTGCAATTGGGCTCCATACGATTAAAGCAGCTTCCAGAACCGAACGAACTAGAACGTAATACAGTGAACGAAGGAAGTAGGGATCTCGAAAACCCTTGGCAGCTCTTTTTATAAAGCCCAAATTCCTGTTTTCTTTGGCAATAATGCTCGAGTAATGATCTCTGAATGAAAGCTGCGAGTCTAGCAGCACTCCAAGATCTCATAAATCCAATGGTCCTGGATTACTTCCTTGGGGAATGTCTGAAATGTTAGAGAACATGTAGGACTGTGATGATCCAAGCATGATAGTGAGTCGTCTGTTCACCAAATAAGACCCCAGCCAACAGTAAGAGGGAAGAAGCTCCTATTCGACTAATCTCCTATTCGATTAAACCAGCATCGATGATGATGATCTACACGGTCAAAAGCTGATTCGAGGTCTGTGTAGACTGTGTCAATTTGAGCTCCATTCTACGATATTAGTGTCTATTGACCTTCCTTTGAAAAATCCATGCCGATCAGTCGAAAGGATCGATTTTACTTTATCAAAAAGCTCTCTGCTCACTAAGATTTCCAAAAGTTTGGAGCTAGCACATAATGAGGTAATACCACGATAATTCGTGACATCACACTTTGTCCCTTTTTTTATAGATACGCCTTTTTAATGCACCACCAATGTAGAGTGCGCCACGCGAGTTCGAGAAGAAACGTCAACCAAACCGTTTGTTTACATCAGAATAAGTATTTTCTCCAACGCAAATAACAGCATTTTTCATTCAAAATCTTAACAATTTCCATCGGTAATTGTCTTATTGTACGATTTTCCACAAATCTGAACTGATTTGCACCTTAATTATTCACACACAAGAAATCCGGAAGATCATAACCACTAAGGCACTTTTCTAATTTTCCATTTTTTTCAACTAAAATATTCCTGAACACCAGCAGGATCTTTTCAAAAACGTTACAGAATTAAATTTTTCAACTGTAGATTAAGTTTTGCAGCATCTCAGATGAATCAATTTATCAGGAAAAGTAAAAAAGTGTTCCGCTTCCTATGTCTCAAGGCAAAAATTTATGCTCACAACACTCTTTTTGACGTTCTCCTATTCACCACCAGAGGTTGAATCGATCGTTTAGTTTCTATTAAAAAGGCCTATAGGGAACATTATTGATTATTTCCACAGTTCTGGAAACTTTGCCTGTGATAGTGACTTATTTATAATAATTGTCAACGGAGGAACAATGGAGTTAGCACATCTCTTCAGTACAATTGAAGGAATTCCATCAGCTGAGCTACAACTTTGCCCAAGAATGTATACCTTTATTTCTGCAAATAAAAATGTAATTTTTTTTATTTTTCAATTTTAATAAGAACCACCCTAGTATTGATTGACACCAAAATGAGGGCCCAGTAAGGAACAACTTTTAGAAGAAACTTTTTACTGAAGTGTAAATGTCAGGTTCTAAATGCATCTACCTATGTGCTTTTTTGGACTACTGTGCATTGTTGCCGTCTATTGGTATCAATAACAATCGATGCGTCCAAGAGTAGTAACTAAGCAAGTATTGACTAATGGTTCCACTTTTCTCATTCCTTACCGAAGTGTTCCCGTTAGCTGATATCTCTATTAGTTCAAGTTTTGAATTTAAGCTTCTATGTTGAAATCTATCGTTCTGAACATAACGTCTAATGATTCAATAAACCATTTCCCAGATCCACATACGCCTCCGGCAACTGCTACCGCTGACAGTAGGAAAGATAAAGGAAAATCTGAATACAAGCATCAAGAGATTTAGAAGTGTAAACAAACAGCGGAGAGCCGGCTTCTACGGGGGCAGAATGGACTCGCACAAAGCAGGCCATGTGTTTGTTTTGACATTTGATTGTTCTTCTCCAGGTGATGGCGGCGTACTATGATCGAGTTGTTTTCTTATTGTTGTCTTTCTGACAGGAATGATATAGGGTTTACGACGTCTTCATTTAGTTGATTACCAATTCCGCAGCTAATTAATTCAAAAGGTCGGGAACTTTTTCAACACTTTTCTCTTCCAAAAACTTAAAGCATTTGTTTTTTCAATTACAGCCACGCTCAAACGTATTCCTGGTATACCTTTTCCATGTCGATGTCGCACGACAACAGCAACGACGAAAAGGTTAATTTAAATTTAATTTGAATAAACGATCAATAAACATTTCGTCCGGGACGGAGAGCAAACTCCCTGTCAGTACCACTTAAGGATGTTGATTTTCAGTTTATCTTTTTTCGCTGTCTACTTCGACTGTCTGAAATGATCATCACAAATGTGCACAGAATGAATAAAAAAAATCAAGAGCAAAGTGCTTTTTAGCATCGAACAAGACTCTGGACGCAAATCGGAGATGAATTTTCCTTCGCTCCCTAAGTAGCTAGGTATCAAGATAATCGAATCTTGAGAGGAAAAATACGTCAACGCGCTGACAGGGGCGGAACGTTCGATGCTTTGATGCAGATTTCAATCTCTGTCGAAGCTTGATTTGAATAACAATGTCGAATGAATGTAGCTCCATGGAGATGGCCTGATCATCAGTCGCCCAGTGCCAACTGCGATGACAACGGAACGACGTGGGAGATAATGGCATGAACGGCAGGCAGTTTGTTTGCTTGACCCAGCCGATCCAGCGCAGTCGGCGCTGCGAGTTGATGGGACACGCTCGTCCAGGGTAAATTGATTGCTGAACAAATGTGCGTGACCTTATCGTAAAATCCGACTGGAACGGAACCGCGTCGACAGATGTCCGAGCGATTTGGAGCTTTTCCCCGGGGAGTAATTTGTGTGGTACTTTACATAAATAACAATCTCATATTTAGCTGAACGATGTTTGCATTACGATGAGAGAACGATGAACTTTTGAGGGGCAATGTTAATGCAAATTATCAAGAATTTAAGGTTTTGCAGTGCTGATCCATTGTTTGTTAAATGCTCTGAATCCCACTGCATCTGATTTGAACATGTTCGATTACAAGTTCAAATAGGATTTACTATTCAATTGAGCTTGGTAGATCTTCGGAATAAAATCAACTATGTATGCATAGCAAATATCACAACCACAAAGGAGTGCACAAAAAGCATAGAAAATTCCCTTCCATTGCATGCATGTTTACTATTCAAATAAACTGACTGCATTGAAACTTCACTGCTCCGCTGCTGCTCACTTGTTCGCTGGAAACGGCAAATCTCAAGTCCCAATGACAACAGTCATTCAGCCAGACCTACTTAGGAGACGGCACTTATGACATATGCAAATCTGCTTTCAAAGTAAACAAATATCCTTCTCGGTATCGCACTCGTCGACGACATACGGCAACGACGACGACCAAAGAGCAGCTTATATGTATCATCATTTCACTTTTATTCAATCACGGTCTCTGAATGTCCTATGTCTGTATCACAGTAAGCGTAGGAAAGTGGAGGGAAAATCCGGATCTTCTTTCGTCATGACATGACATCCCTTGACGAACACATGGCTAAACGTCACTTTCATAGACACTCATCCATGTCCAAAATCGGGTTGACATCTGTTTGTCGCCTACTTCTCCGGGAAGAGTGACGATGAGCGTGTAGTAACCCACTTGTTCCCTTTTCCGCACCCAATACTGGTCGTATCCTTTATGTGAACCTAATGTTTGTACGCACGCAACAGACTTCTTCTAATTCATAAATTATGATTAAACTCGTAGACTCGATCGATAGGTGGCGTGTGCGGGAAATGTGACAGTAAGCTCTCCATAGGGCCGACACACACAAGAAGGAGCTGTTTATTTATTGCCATGTTATCAGAGCCTCGTTTAGATGAAAACGAGGTGGACGAAGGACGGATGGAAAGCTCCTTTCGTGATGTAAGACGATTGGCGGAAGGAAGCCGTATCATGGCGCCATCTGCTTACGAGCACAGAGAAACAGAGTGATGTTGAAGGTTTCGCAGTCGTCACCGGTCTACTTTGATGTTGTCGTCGTTCGCAATATGAGAAAACGCGTTTCTCGCGAGCTCTTGAGTCAAGATTTGAATGTCAATCAAATATTTCACTAAGACGCAATTGGATGAGCTGAAATTGATCTGTAAATAGATTATGGCTGAGTAAACAAGATGTGTTATCGTGTCTACCGTTCCCAGCTAACTCTTCTCAAAGGCTTCCGAATCTCAACACGGTTGAAAAACATGTTGAATTTCGCAGAATCCTAATCAATTTCAACGTCTTTGATGTTCGATGCAATCCCAGCTTCCCAACGGCAAGTGACAGAGGAAAATAAAATCTCGGAAATATACGCTCATCCCACGAACTTTATGCCCACCATCAACTTTCCGAATTTATTAAACTCCCACTTCACCTAAAACAAAAATCAACCTTCTTCGTTTGAACGGCACGATTTCATCCTCCGAAAGCAACTTCCAATAGGTATCAGCTCGACGCCAGTCGAATGAAACAAATGCGCACAAAAAGAATGGAGCTCTTTCGCAAATTAACACTTAATCCTTTCTCTCTCTCTCACACACACTCGTTTACAGGGTTGACGCCCGGGGCAAGCCAATCCAGTACGCGAATCACTGGTCCGACAAGACGGTCTTCCTAAACTCGTCGGTGTACTTCTATCACGAAACAAACCCGCCGGCGCTCCGGATAAGGAACATCACACATCACCTAGCCGGACTGTACAGGTAAGTGCCTTTGAAATGGCTTTTTGTTTTCCTATGCGCACTCAATCATACTCCGGAGGAAAGGTGTGTATTTGATATGGATGATATGATACTCAATAAGCTAGTGTCGCAGCAAGACTTCAGGACTCAAGCGGTTCGATACTCGATTCAATCAAATTTTACTTGTTTGAAAATGTATAAGTTTTCTAGACAACAAATCTCAGACACTGTTGCAACATAGTTCAACCATAGAAGAATAGGATGCGTTGGATGGATGCTTCTTCAATAGCCAAGAAAGAACAAAGTACGATTGCTCGATTTTGGCTACCAAAGAATGGAGAGCAGTAACTGTTGATTTTCCAGATTGATACGCATACTGGAAGTTACCGTATGCGTGATAATGTTTGCACCATTAAGCAATGTCAAAATTTAAAAAAAAATCTCAAAGTTTCGTTTTCGAGTTTTTTTATTTATTCAAAGGGGGGATGTTTCTCAGAGTTTAAACTATGTTAATCATCGATCGTGTTTCTACTTGCTGCAATTACGGCCACCACACGCTTCCGGAATGCACGACAAGTTCTAATAATGTAGTCTGGATCCATTTCTCTCCAGGTACGTGTCAATGTTTGTCTGAGGCTTGCTGTACTCGGGTGGCGTTTAGAACAGGCCTTGGCCTTCATAACACGCCATATTGAGTAATCCAGCGGATTAAGATCGGTGATGGATGGCGGCCACGTAAGATGTTCCTGCAACCACTTCTGAGTGCGGTTCGAGGTATGACACTTATCTTGTTGAAATACAACATTTGGCTTCGGACTGTACTGTTCTTTGATCCACGGAAGAACATACTTACTTAAAATCCCGATGTAGACCTCCGTGTTGACCTTGTCGCCTTCTGGAACGAACACCGTGTCAATTTTTTTGCCATCGGAAGCCGCCAATACAAACACCATAACGCTAGCAGGATGCTTGGTCAGATACACGTTCTTGTACTCGTCGGCCACTTCTTTTACCGGAAGATAACTAATATACCGGTCGGTTCTGGAATTTGATACGGGATCGACGGTAAACATGCTCTCGTTGGTGAACAGGATTACCGGATCGCTTAAGGAAGTTCAAGATTTTCTTGCATCGTTCGACTCGTAGCTCCCGGATGCGGTTGGTAATAATGTGCGTTTTTTTTTCCGTGCCTTCGACTTCGCCCCGCAATCTTCCTTTACGATCTTCCGTGCCGTAAAGTCACTGATCCCGTGTTCCTTTGCCATTTGCCTTATTGAACGCACTGGATTCACCCGAATCTTCCTTTTGATAGCAGCGATAACCTTCGGAACCCGAGCTGACCTCGGACGGCCTGTGCCCACCTTCGCGGATAGTTGTCCTTTCTATTCTCGGTCTAAAACCCTTTTGACGGTCCACCGGGACACTCCCACGGCGATTGCAATGTCTTTTTGCGACATTTTCGCGTGGGACAAATCACGAATACGCAACTGTCAAACCAAGTAAATCATTTTCTTTTATACACAGCCTACTACAGTATGAGCACAGACAAACAGACGTAACTCTTTGAAAAAGTTTTTCTTGAAAACATAGTATCTCAAAACATAGGACCTCAGTAGCGACATCTCTAGGGTTTCTCGCGGAAAACAAGCTTGCTCGCTAACTCGCAAACAATATTGCATAAAAGTTTTATAGAGTGTATAGAAACGTCAAAGTGATCCGATGCCAGCGCTGCGGCGAGTAGTTCGCGGAACTGATAATATTCAAATCAACCGTTAAATGCGTGAACGAAGATACACAATGAAGTGTTACGTCTGTTTGTCTGTGGTATGAGCTAGTATGAGCTATAGGTTACGTGCATGCAAAGAAAACCAAGGCATTGTATGCACAGGTGAAACGAGAACCTTATTTGTACGATGGTGCAAACATTATCATGCATACGGTAGATATTGGATGCGTTAACATGTAAGTTGAGTTGATGAAGTCATTCAACACCTGTTCCATAGTCTTCAATAAAAATTGATGAGAGACTAATGGACCTAAATGCTTTCGGCTGCGTTTTGTCACGCCTACCATTTTTCGGTATGAATATAACTCTTACCAGTCTCCATTTTGATGGAATGCAGTTTAATCTTAAACTAGCCTTATGAAATCTGCGTTAGAGACGGAATAAGCATTTTTTCACCGTTTTGAAGCAGTGCCGGAAATATGCCATCCACACCCGCAGAATTAAAAGGCTAAAAAGATCTCACAGCAGTCGAGAAAATTTCATCAGCTATGTCTAGTGTGGTGTTTTCTGTTCTCTGAGATACTGGAAAGGTCTCCATAGAACACCTTCCACCAACAGAATCAGAATTAGTCAATTCAACATACAATACCGAATCTGGAAATGTGTTTTCATCATTAAATTTAAAGTTTCAGAGGAAGATTTGGTAAAACCTCCACTAAGATTACCAAGTTCAATAGTACGGTCTTTCGCAAGAGTTGTCTGTAATCTTGCGACTATAGGTAGGAGTACTGTTTATATTTTAACAAATTTGAATCCAGGACCGCCTCTTAGATTAACGTATTTCATTATTAAATTCAGATAGGGTTTTCTTATATTGAGTCCAATCAGAAGTGATTTTCACCTTATTGAACATCTTACGTGAAACTCTTCGGAAGGTTTCAATTTCGAGCTCCACCACGGCACATCCCTGTTAGAAGAAAATCGTTTGATAGGACAGCTACTGTTGTAGGAATTTATAATTCTTTCGTTTACCTTTGAGAAAATTATTCCAATTGTTGGGTTGAATCGTCATTCATAAATATATCTGAATATAAGATGCAAAATGTCCATATTATAAGATGAGACAAATTCCAAAAGGCACTCACCTTGACTTTTGATGTCCGTACTACCCAGTGTTGCCAGTATTCCAGATTTATCTGGATTTTCCAGATTTTTAGTCGTCTTGCCAGATACACAGACAGACCACGTATATTTCCAGATTTTTTAAATATGTTCCAGATTTTCCCAGATTGTTTAAACATGTTGCTTTAAAAATATCACTGCAATTGATTTACCCTCCAAAAAAAATCCAAACTTACTTATTTATTTATTAAAGGCCATCAACGTTGGACATTATTTGAATTTTAAGGTAATTATGAAAATAGTTCACAGTGAAGTGTGAGGCGAATTTCTTGTGAAATCAAAGGAGAACTTCAAGCTAATTCTGAGCAGTGGTTCATCCACCTAATTGGGTTTCGTGGTCGTTCAGGCGTATTGTGAGTGCCACGAAGTGAGGGTTCCATTCGCATTCCAGCCGGTGCAAATTTTGGCAACCTGAAAATTCCCCTACTGGTCCACTGAGTGTGGTGTGTTGTCCGTTGTCTAGTGTTAAATATTCAGTCTGTGCAACCTCTGGTTGAAGATGGTTTCAATTGTCCTGTCAACTCTGATGACAATTGCATGGAGATTTTGTGAATATAGGGAATACAATCCGGAAAAGAAATCATAGAAAATTTTCTATGCTGATCGTTAGAATAATTTCAATGGAACTCTGTCCAATGTTTCTATGGAGATTCATTTTAATAAAATTTTAAGATATTTTAGCAGAATTATGCGCAATTTCTGGGAGACTTTCAAGGCCATTTTCGCAAAGTACTTGAGTACTTAGGAAATACTGAAGAGGATTTCAAAATAATGCTGACCTTTGCTACAAAGCAGTTCAAAGGGAATTATCAGACTTTGATTTTAGTAATATAATAATGTTATTCTTAAAAAAAATAATAATAATATTATTCTTTGTATGTATATGTATGTATATACAATCCAACTTCCACTGTCCGGCAGTGTTTTTATGGAAGAAAAATGTTTGCAACCTAATCTATTATTATCTTATACTGATCCCATTGCAAACAATTTTAGCCCGGAAGTTGAAAGGTGATAGCTCTGTTGAGATTCAGAAACCCATTGCAGAATGCCTGGTTACTCACGTCCATTCCGAGGTTACTTTCACTTACAACAAGCCCCGCATACACGTAGTACCGATATAAAATAATATAATATTATTCTTTGGCCTGAAATTATTCATAATGGTCATGCAAATAGTGGAGTTACCCGTAGTTTAGGTAAACTTTGTGTGAGTACTACGATTGATTCCCACTTCAGCCAGATGAATTTTGCTTCAAAATAAAATTGTCTACAGGTCTATAGGGAGTTGTGTGTTGTATGATGTCAAGAATTAAATTTTAAATCTGATCAACCTCAGAGTAATATTAGAATTGTTTAGAACTAATACAATCTTTATATTCTGGTACTGCATCAAATAGGAAGGACTGCATCGACTATTAGTTACTATATGGACTTTTACCATCCCATCAAATTTGCTTAATTCTTTGCGTTTAATTCGTTTTTAAAAAAATTACAGTTTGAACAACAATTCTAAAAATATTTTCTGCAGTATGTTGCCCACATTTAATTCAATTTTTGAACTGCTGCGTAATGGATATTTAAACTTTTTTGGGCACACTGTGTCAATACTTTTCAACTTTTGCATGATTTAGCATTTGCTTCATATAATTTATTTGTAATACATTTGTAATATGTAATTCGTAACCATTCTAGTACTTTAAATAAATTCCAGATGATCATGCTGACCGATTTTTACGGGAGATTGGCACATCACTTTGATTTCAATCAAGCATTATGTTAAAAACTGGATTTTTTGGAGCATTCCAGATTTTTCCAGATCTTATATTTTGACTGGTCCAGATTTTTCTGAAAATGACCTGGCAACGCTGGTACTACCCCACACGGTATGATGCGCATTGGCATCACAGCCAATGATAAACGACTTGTTGTATTTTTTGCAATTTTGGACTAATTAGGCGATCTCAGGAGCTTCACCAGGAAAATAAGTCAAAGCAATTACAATTTCGGTTATCTGAAGACCAGCCAGGCGGTGGATCTCAGAATTTCGAGTCCGCGGGGGACTCTTGAGGATCATCCTAAGGATCCTGTTCTGGATCCTTTGGAGTTTGAG